GACTTACCTTTCATCGATGTATTAAAACAAACAAATAAGATTATCACCGAGTGGGAAAAGCTAAATCTCTTTGGCTGATAAACCATCAGAGTAGTGCTCATTTTTTTTTGCATGCTTAAACTCACGTGGTCTCTCCAATAAAGCAAATAAAGAAGAAATAGATCTATATAATCACAATAATTACAGTAGCGCCTATAGCTGCAAATGATGTAACACCAAGAGCAGTCAACCCCGCCGCCATTCCAACGCAGCAGCATTATATGCGATTACTCTTGCCATTTTTTTTGAAAAATGCTTTAGAACTTGAAATAAGATCCTTCACTAACGCAGATATAATGAATACGGATGTTAATTAACCCAACACCTATATTCCACGGGGCAATAAATCTATATAAAGGCGATAAGCTTGAATACAACTTAAGTATAACTTGTAACAATACCATCAATGGCTCCCCAGCTATTGCTGCTCTTTCTGATAATCTTGTCATATTATTACTTGCATCATAACTTGGCATAAACCCTCCTAGTTAATAATTTGAACCCTAGCATAGCTTATAGTTAATATCAATGCTTTTTTAAGATACAACAAATCAGAAAATCTTAACTGTATCTTTAATTCACGTGGTTAGTTAATTACACTTTTGTTTTACCTATTGATACATGTGATTATTACTTTGTAAACAATATAAAATACCAACAATGCAGAAGTGCTAAAACATAGATAACTGAAGGTGATAACGCAAAGTCGAAAGCATAATTAATGCGAATGGAAATCCAAATAAAAATGCTAAACAGCTACATAAAACCGCTACTGCTAGGTTTTGAAAAAATTTTGCAGAACATATAATAAAATATGATAATGTAATGAGTGGTAACGATGATCGAATACAAATTATTCCATTTATAATAAGAGGCGTAACTAAGATAGGGCTATAACATAACTTGCGATTACTACCTGTAGCACCAATTGCAGCAATGATCATGAGGTATATTGCTGTTGCCGACATTGCTTTATAGCAATAGCTTCAACCCTAACTTCTATAAACCAAAATTTAAAGAAGCAAGAAGAAAGTGGTAGTTTACCAGTTAATAAACAAGGAGAAACTCAAATGAAATATTACACATAAGAAACAAAATGGAAACAAATTTTTGCAAATTTGAAAAGTATAAAAGAAATACATAGTAAAAATGAAGATCATCTAAGAAAACTCATGGAATCAGTGTAGCATGTGACACGAAGTGGTTGCCAATGAGGACTTTTATTAGAAATATATGGCAATTACAGAAGTGTACATAAGAGATTTAAAATTGGTATAAAAGGGAATTTGAGAAAGATTGTTAAAATATACATAAGATCCAGATTTGGAAGTGCAAATAATTGATGGGACAATCATTCGAGCTCATGCTTGTACTGCTGAATACAAAAAAGATTCTGGAGCTCAAGAAGCACTAGGACGCAGCAAAGATGGATTACAACTACTCTTAATCAAAAAAATGATATTACACAGGCTAAAACATTGACTGAAAATGTTCAAACTCTACTTTAGTAGCCGATAAGGGTTGCTATAGCAATGCACTCCTCTAAAAAGAAATCGAAAAGCGCGGAGATACTATTACGAATACGTTTATAAAGAGAGGCATTTTATCGAGTATTTTTTTTGTAAGATAAAACATTTTAGGCGGATTTTTTCTCGACTTGACAAGACTGCAGTAGTTTTCATGAAGTTTTTAACTTCGTTGGTGCTCCGTATGGATTGCTTGGATTTTGGTTTGTAGAGGTTGGGGGTAATTCTCCTAAATGTGATAATATCACTACCTGCTCATCTGCATTTGGTGATAACTAGGTTTTATCTTCCCCAGCTCTACCTGCTATCCATAGAAGAAAATCAGTTAAATCCCCCTTATATTTCTACTTTCACCCTTGCTTTTTGATAATCTATCTTTTTTACTATCCCAATGCGGATAATATTAACTAATTTTCTCTGCAGCTTTGCAATAGTAAAGTTATTTCCAACATTAATTTCACCTATATTCATTATATGTTGCTTAATTTTGCTCCCTAGCCAGACTGATTCTCTCAATGTAACTCATGCATCCACTCAACTAACCGGATAATATATGTGTCTAATTCTTGCCGAAATCCATCAATTTCTACTGATATCAACTCAACTGGGGATATACTCATTCCTCATCTATTTCTGCTTATTATCCTTGCAACCTCAGCAACTATAGGTCTCTCAATTATGAGACATTTTACTGGAGGATCAATCATAATTCTCGCTTCAAACCTTGCTCTTAAAGTTAATTCTTCAGTTCCAAGATCATGTCCTTTTTCAAAGCTGCTGAGTTCCACAAATATCTGGGATTCATTCTTTCCTTATTGCTGGATATACTTCAGAGGTCTGTATCGTAGGTATTTCTTTCTTCGACGTAGTATAAATTGCGTAATATAAGTCATTCCAAGTCATATTTTTGCAATGTAGCTCAACTCACGTTCAAAAAACTCTCCAAAAACCCTCTCAACTTCATAACTACAACATCCTTTATTATTTTTGACGCTTATGGTTCCAATGGTAATTAACTTCCCGCATTGACAATGCCATCTTTTCTTCGCGTTTAAATACACCTTTATAACTTCTTGGTGTAACTGTTATAAATCCTCCAATAAACTCATGTTTCCTGCTTTTCATCGATCCTTGTCTGTTTCATCTTCCAGAGATGATACTCTAATGTCGTATAAATTTACTCTTATTAATCCATCCAATCTGCTTGTTTTTGATTTGAAAATCCTCAATCTCTTTCTTATTCGATTTAACTTTATTTGCTTTTCCTTACCGATTTCCTTAGTAGCTTATATCTTTAATCAAAGTGCTGTTTTATTCATGGTGGTCAAAAATTTTGCAGTATTTCGTGTCAATCTTGATAGTATCCCCACACCTTGCCAAAGGGAGATCCTGAACATATTCTTCTACAGAAGCTATTTGGCGAGTTAATTCTCCATCTTTGCCTATAGAGCGGGTGGAATCAGGACGTTTAATCAGCACTTTTACTTTACAGATTTCCTCCTTTTATTATTGCAATAACTCATCTCCATCCCTAAGTGCTCAAAACAACCTTCTAATAATTAGAATACATTTACTTGCTTTTTCGTACTTAAAGTAATAGACTATTATCGTCTAGTTACTTTGTGTAACATAATTTTTTCCACTAGAGCATAAACATTATTCTATACTAGAACTACGTTTGTAGCACAGGTAGAGAAGTTATTTTATGAAATAATCTATTGACATGCTTATGCTGACACTTATATAATCACCACATATCCTAGTATGTTTAGCATACAACCTCACTTTATACTATGTTGCGGTGATTTTTACCAGTATACCAGCGCGTTGAAACATTGGCGGTGGATTCAATTGAGTATGTAGATCTACTCCTCTATGAAACCTTCTTGATTCTTGTTTTCATATAGTAGTTGCCCTAGTGTATTTACCTTCTAGACTAGAAATAGCTCCTTGGTCCTCTGTGCACTAAGTTTGTATGCTTTTTCATCTCTATACAACAAAGCACATTGTAATGTGTAAGAATTAAATTAATCAAATCTTCCTTAACTTGATGCATATGGCTTATTTAATACCCACTCTTACCTGATAATTACACAATAAAACTTTTCAAGTTTTTCATCCCTTCCTTCTAAAATCTATCAGATATTGTGGCTGTCTTCCACTTAAAATGTCCTTCCTTATCTTTGGTGCCAGAAGATTCAAATCCAAGATTCTATCTGGATATTTCATTTTCTTGTTCTTTTCACACAGTTCCATCTTTCTTTTTGCTTTATTAAAACAGATTTTCCACACCTCTTCCAATGCTTCCTAACCTCTCTTAGCATTTATATGACTCACTTTCTCTATTGCTTTTTAGAGAGAAATACAACATGAGATTCGACATTATTGCAGGTATTGCGAATATTAGGCACAGGTGTTAACAGCTTTCGGGTTGGGTATTCCTTACAGGATTTTATTAGCACTCACTTCCTGCTGTTTTGCAGGTGATCTATATAAAAATAAGTTAAAGAAGGACGCAATAGAGCTTATATCCTTGACATTTTAATGTTTTCTCTGTATTATTTACAAATATCATTATTAATAGGTAATACATGAAAGAGGGGGAATATTCGTATTATAAGTTGCCAAACAAGCTTAAAATTTTATACGTTGGTCTAGTATCAAGTATAAGAAATTTTTTTAGGAAAATATTTTTCCTGGATAAAAAACTGGGAATGGAAGAAGTTCAAGATGTTTTAGAAGGAGGGGCTTTTGATTCAAAATCCCTAGGTAAAACTCACGATAGTGAAGAACAGGAAATATGGTACGACGCTCTGGAAGAACAAGAAGAATTCTTTGATACTTATGAGTATATTGAAAGTGATAACATTCAAGGTGTAGCAAAGGAAAAGGGGGAAGATAATGATCTTGAATATATAAGTAATCAAGGTCGAGATGTAATAGTAGAAAAGGGAAAATGTGAGAGTGGTCAATACTACAGTTTACAATCCGGAATGAAAGAGAAAAAAGAAATTGATAATACAACTAAAACACTCGCGCTTGCTTTTCAAATAGATATGAGAAAATTATATATAAATAATAATATTAATTTTTCTACTCTCAAGTTACAGAAGATACAGAATGGAGGAGATGAATACTATCTATATTTTATAGATAACAGTAATAATTTTATTATGTTTTGTACTAAGAGCTTAAATATCTACTTTCCTAAACATTTTGAAAAAAGGTATGGCAAATCTTGTGCTGAAATTTTTCCTGAGCGTGAATACAATGTTTGTAATCATATAATAATTCCATTGGAGGTTCAAAAGGAAGTTAGTATTCTAACTCACAAGTCTTGGAATCCAATCAAGTCAAGCATTCAATCTAATATACCAGAAATTAATGAAGTAGATCTTCAAAATTGTGACGGACATATGAATTTTCATTTCGACGTTACAAAGAGTAATAATATACATCTTTCTCTCACAAGCAACAAAATAAAAACTGCAGCTATTATCTCAGGTACTCCCCTCGAAACAAACTGGCTAATCAAAGATATTTTAATACGAGGAAGTTTTGCGAACCAGATTGGTGTTAACAAAATGACCGAAATTGAGGTTGATAGGAAGAGATTTAAAGTGAATTCTGTTCAGAATTGTTCAAATCATAGTTCTAATCGGAAGTGTTAAATAAACCATAGGCGTTAAGTTAGGAAACATAGAGAGTTTAAGGTAGATATTATTGTCTTTTTATACCTATCCCTTATCGAAAATCTCGACCAAGCTATGATGGTCTTTTTAAGAAAATCTTCAAATCGTTAGTCTTGTTATTTAGCAATAAAAATTGCTCTCTAGTTCTCCATTTTACTCAATAAATGCTTTATTTAAGATAAGCTCTATATACTTTGCTAACCCTAGACAATTAACTGCACCATGGAATATTAGAATTCTACATAATTTAGCACATAGTTCACATAATATTCTATATGGCTTGCCTTTAACACTATCAATCCTAGCGTAGCTCTTATATACCTTAAACAATAGTTCGATTTGCCATCTTATTCGGTAATCGCTAATATTTGCTCAGCATTAATTTTACTCTCTGGAGCATTAGCTACAAATATCGACCAATTTAGTAATTTTTGATTTCTTTGAGAGTGTATATCTATGCTATTTTGCTAACTTATTAGTCTTTCTTCTTTTACCATAGCTTGTTCTTTAATTAGCTTTAGTTAGCTTTTTACATATAATTCTTGCCTTAATCTTTGCCTCCCTTCCTAGTAATACCTAAAGCTCTAGAAAAGATTGATCTTCTAATATGAATACATCTTAACTTCTATAAACCAAAATTTAAAGAAGCAAGAAGAAAGTGGTAGTTTACCAGTTAATAAACAAGGAGAAACTCAAATGAAATATTACACATAAGAAACAAAATGGAAACAAATTTTTGCAAATTTGAAAAGTATAAAAGAAATACACAGTAAAGAGATTATAATTCCTCTAAAAAGAAATCGAAAAGCGCGGAGATACTATTACGAATACGTTTATAAAGAGAGGCATTTTATCGAGTATTTTTTTGTAAGATAAAACATTTTAGGCGGATTTTTTCTCGACTTGACAAGACTGCAGTAGTTTTCATGAAGTTTTTAACTTCGTTGGTGCTCCGTATGGATTGCTTGGATTTTGGTTTGTAGAGGCTAGAGAGATGGGGGATAGCAGCTCTACAGGAGCACTCATTTATACACCTTTACAGCTTTAAAGTAGCTTTTGGGGCTTGCCGCGCTTGTTACAGTCGGTATTGGCTTACACATAAAAATGTCTACAACTCCAAGTTACGTGGAGATGCGAGAAAATAGTGTTAAACATTCAAGTCAACAGAGGGCGCGTGCTTAACGTAGTTCTTTATAGTA